AGTTGGTTGGTTAGTCGTCGGATTTCCAAGGATCTTAGGAATTCTTACCATCCATGGTCACTTCATGTGCCCAGCCCTACTAGCCGCTACCCTATTAGCTCTACCTTTACCAATAGTTCCTAAGCAAAACGGAAATCAAGCTAAAAGCAAGGATTGAAGAAAGCAGATGATAGTATTAACATTTGTACAGGTGCGTCAAAATATTCTTTAGGTGTCTCCTTATAAGCAGAAGCAGGCCCGCCTTAGCTGCCTTCACTGTTTTCAGAATATGACGTCTTCCGCACTCACCGTCGAGCTCAAGGGGGTCTATTCGATCGAATCCGCTGGTGTGTATGTCTTTCAGGGAAAGTATCTCTAAAAATGCCAGGGCACTTCCGACCAGTGTTGAATTAATGTCGAAATGACCCACTCTGCGATGACCTTCTTTGAGCTTTACCGACCAGGGTGAAAATCGTGTCGAGGAAATAACCGCATCTTTACGACCCCCCCCTCTACCATTAACTCTGATACGACCCCTTCTTGTCCTCCGCACAACCGGTTTCATAACAGAACGTTAGTATTAGACGTTCGAGTATCTACACCAATTTCAGAGTAGATATCCCATTTGAGCTTTCATTCCAGTCAGTTTTAAGATATCAGTTGCTTATTCTAATTAGAACTTATGACATTAGTGATGACAGTGAATGGCAGCAGCATAGTGTGTCCTGCACAGTGGCGTTGTTTAACCTTGCGCTTACGACCCCCTCCCAATTCCCATCGGATCAAATACGACCCCCTGTCGAGGATTTCCTCGACCGTTATTCACCCTGTACCTACCATGTTCCTGAAGGAAAATATTCGGATTTCAACCTTGTGGAAGGCTAATGTAAAGGTTTTTTTTTGGTAGAATGGAGTGTGCTCATAGATTTTTAGTCGTTCGGTTTAGATTCAGCAGAGAACTAAATCCGTTTCATATGTGGGATTAAGTGACTATTTTTTTGCCCCTCCCCTCATCCTATAGATGAGTATGCGCTAAGGAACGGAATGAGACCGTATTCCAAAAATCTCATCACTGTGCTCCACACCGTAAAAGTCACTTCTGCCCAGCCGTTCATGCAGCTATGCGAGACGTGAATAATAGAGAAGCCGCTGCATAACTGTGATAACGTCTCATTATCTACAGTGTACGAATATTCGTTTATAAGCACCCTTCTTCTGGGTATGGTTCATTTCCACCAGCTGTGGTCTCCTCGGAAGCGGTTAGTGACGGCTGAGCATCCGGTCTGAGTGGACTTCAGTAACCTACTCGTAATGTTGTAATTCATGGCTTTATCATACCACTTCTTTTTCAGTTACGGTACTGGAATGATGCATCCCCGGACGACAAGAGCGTGATGGAGTTTGAAGGCTCACAAAGAAACGCTACCATTGAGGGTTTGACTCCGTCGACACATTACACGGTTGATGTTATGGCGTCCACTGTGAAGGGAGACGGACCTCGTGAAGAGACGAAGTTTGAATCCGGTGTTCCGCCCGGTAAGGTTCTCCAATTTGGTTTTCATTCGATTTGTCATTACAAAAAAGAACGCTCCTGCAGTGATTCTTAGACAGTGCTAAACCATAAATGAGGATTGTGCTTCAGAATTGCCTGGTCGTCCAAGTTCGTTGACCCTGTCAGGATATCCGTGCTAGATCAGTGCTACTCAGTTTTGTGCCGGGATTCGATGGCCATACAGCTATTCGGCAGTGGATTGTTGAGGCGAAGGTGGCGGATTCCAGCGTTTTCCAGGTCATTTATAACGTGAGGTGAGTCAGCCTACAATCGTATGACCAAGCCATGTGAAACGTGCTGGAGAGATTGGAGTTCCCGAAGCTCTCAATCTATAAATTTCCCAGACAGCCAATAGTGTGCTGCTCGCTTCCAACGTGAACTTTGTTTATGAACGTTAGTAAGAGTCGAACCTGCGAGGTTTTTTATTTAGAGGGACTGCATTTACGGATGTTTAGATTTTGAATCTATTAGCTTCAAATTCTATTACTGGGCAAAGCCTCCCAAGAAAACACACGCTCTTCAGACAAATTTGGCCTGTGTACAGGGTGGGGCAAAATTACTGGTGCACCTATACGTTTTGAATTTTTTAACACTTCTTGGAGATTTTCCTGTTTCACTCGCTTGTGATATGTTGCCTGGAGGTTGCGTAATTCCTACGTACTCGAATACAAAATGGTCCGTCGTTCTGACCTACGGAGCGCGATCATCAAACTTCACAACGACGGCAAGCAAACAAGAGAAATTGTGAAGATCCTTTCCGTACCTCGAAGGACGGTTCAGAATACAGTACGACGCTATAAAGAACTGAAGACCGAAGAGGACAGGGAAGGAAGAGGACGTCCCACAACAGCTACGAGTCGGAGAAATGTGAGGCTCGTCAGAGAAAGAATTCGAAGGAACGCCAGGAGATAAGCGCGAGGTCAATGAGGAGGATTGTCAGAAGTAAGCTAAGGAAGTTCCCCTATCGCTTGCAGAAATGCCAACTCCTGACGGACATTATGAAGAAAAGGAGATTGGAGAGATGCAAGAAGTTGCTGCAGCGATTCACGGTGGCACGCGCCCGAGACATCGTTTTCAGTGATGAAAAGATTTTTACTCTGAATCCAGCCTTCAACTCCCAAAGGATTATTGCAGGATCAACCACATCACAT